CTCCACGTGCTAACTACTACTAAACTCTGTATATTGAATTTAAAATAAACAGTATTATATTTTGTGAAACTAACTTCAGAAAACATATTATAAAGTATATTTTTATCGTATTTTCAATAGATTTAAGTGTTAATTGAATGTCGTTCTTTTTGTGTAATTATGTTAATAATTTGACCTATTTTTTGAGAATTAAAGTACTTAAAATAGTTTGATTTTAATTTTGACATTTCTTATCATGTAACACTTTAGCTTCTTTATAATTGTAATTTTATTTAGGTGTATTGTTATGACGTCATGTAAAGTAATTTTGGTGAAGAATAATAATTGTCACATTGCTATAATTCATTTTTTATTTACCGCAATTATATTATTATAATTAAACTTATAATCTAGGAAGACAAACAAAGAAAAAATATAAGCATAACTCTAACAAAAATGCATGTAAACAGTCTACAACTTTATAAAGTAATAAAATACTGTTTACAGTGGAATAAAACATTTATTTTTTTCATAATACAAGCAGTCATTTATTTGGTTGCCTTCCTGTCAATAAACGTACATCGTAGAACAATCAAGAAACAAAACGAGAAATATAGATTCAATGAACAAGTGAACTCTATACTTAGTGTATAATAAGGCTCAATTTGCAATGAACACCATTTTAGGATAATAAGTCTTGTTGTTGAGTTTGCTGTTGATGTATTTCCTGCATCGTGGAGACCGGCAGCGTAGCACTCACAGTTATAGAAGGCATGCCGGGGAGGGACACCGGAGTGACCACTGGGATTCCGCTGCTCATCGGTGGGAGCATACTCGATTGATTAAAACTACTCATATCAAATGTGGGTATCAAGTTTTGTGTCTCTTGTGGATAAGGCACAGGAGCGGGGGCTTGCGGCTGCGAGTAGCTCGGCATCATGGGTATGTAGGGCTGCGGTTGATTCATCGGAATACCTGGCAGGTTGGGCAGCGGTGCTGGGGGCTGCATATGTGACACTGATGGTATACTGCCAAGATTTGTCAATGTTGCATCTGCTAAATCTAAAAAAAAATACAAATAGATAAAGTTAATATAAGAATTACAGTAAAATAATATGTCACTATGACATAATCACTATGATCTTTTTTCAAGCTTAATAACTAAAACAATTGAGTTTCATCAACATACAAGAATGACAACACTCCATAAGTTACTACTGTAATCATAAGAGATTTTTATAAAACTTATAAAATTAATATAAAACTTACTACTGGAATATGCAGCCATATTTGAGACAACGGATTGCGTTTGTGAGATAGGTTGTTGCGACATAATGGGTTGAGGAGCACTATAATCAGGGGCACTATAGCTTGCTCCTGGGTTGACCATTGGGACTCCTGATAAGAAAGGCGGCGGGGGATGGTTCTGTATAGGTCCTTCTTGTGATATCACACTCTGGGCATCACTAACAAGTGGAGTTTTTTCTTCATTTATGCTAAGGTTTTGCAAATTTGAAGCCAGATTTTGTTGAATGTTTACACTCTGTGATGATACCTGAAAATAATATAAATATAAGCAATAATTTTAATTTTCTATTGTTTTCAAGGTCTGTTGCAAAAGTATTAAACATTTAAACAACTTAGTCATTAATTCATAAAAACATAATCTAGCATGAAGAAAAAAACACTATCATGTGATAAATCAAGTTACTTTATGGTTATTACATAAAACAATAATACTCAAATGTGTATATTTCCAATAAAGTATTTGCCAGTGTATAGTATACTTAGAGAACATTAGGAAATAATTCCTTATCTCAAATCAGCCTTGATTTATGTTGTTCTCTTATGTAACATTACTTACACTTTAATTTAAAGTCTGTAAAATATGTTGACAATAACAAAAAAACAGAAAAAGTGACATCACGGGCAGTATAATTACTATTTCATTTACATAATGAAATAATTTCAATTTAGAAAATTTAAAACATTACACCGCTTTAGTTTCCTGAAGTTATTTCCTTAAGCACTTTTGCTAAGTTCATAACACTTTTATCAATTTTATGTATTGCTATCAATCAAAACTTATAAATAACACTTAAAAAAAACGAATTTGTAATTTTTGTTAACTTACCATTGGTGTTGATGGTGAATATGCATTTTCATTAGGTGCAGAACTGTTTCTTATTGGAATTCTGTGCAAGTAACCATATCCAATCCCGCAGCCGAGGCTTCCCTGACCTCCCCAACTGTGATTGGGTGTAATGTGAACCTCACGGCATGTGTCATCAGATGTATTGTACACAAACAGCTTCAAAGCCCTTCCTTCATGAGCCTCAATTAAAGTAAACAAATCTTCACTCTCATGCATTATGGAATCAGCTCCGATAATATAATCAGTAAACGGCCTTAGACCTGCTATTTCAGCCGGAGATGTAGGATGCACTTCCTGTAAGTGAATTGAATAATCATTACATTACAATATAGCATAAAACAAGTGTACATGTTTATGAACCTAAAGGAAACTATTATTTTTTTCATATTTGTCCATCAATTTTTTTGCTTACTTACCAAAACATGCCACACATTTTCATTAGCACCTTCGAAGGAACAAAACCTAATGCTGACACCCAAAAGTCCTTGTCCTCCCCAATTGTTACTCGGGGTGATTTGTACCTCCCTCACCGACTGCGTTTTACTGCTATATACTAGCATTTTAATTGTTTTATCAATGTTTTTCTTCAACAATTCTTTGAGAGTGTCATTGTCTTGGTCTAGCCTAATGTTTTCTATTGCTACAATAAAATCAAAAAATGGTTCCAAATTCGCTTGATCACCTGGAGAACCATCTTGAACCTGTGAAATATTATATTATTACTTACTTAAATCTTAACACAAACCGACTTTAAATGTTTTCATTAGTGCTCACCCGCAAAACGTGGTAGCCCTCTGAACCACCTCCAGGTACTTCAGCACTTTGTGAGGAACCCATTGGAAAGGAAATAAATAAGTAGAATTTTATAAATAATTAAAAATATTATGGTTTTAAAGAATTTTATTGACAGTCGTCAAATCTTAAATGTTGACTTTGACATATCCATTTTTTCGCTACGTATTATAAAGATTACGTGGCACGAACCTTTTGATTTGAACCCGTGCCTTTTATTTTTTCCGAGCTAAAGACAATCAATACTGCATTTTAACGAAATTTTACTAAAGTATCGATAGATCATTTAAGTAAAAGCAGATAGCTATGCTAGTGAACCTCCAAACCAATAAATTACATCGGTTAAGGATGAAGAGCATCAGCACATTTATTTTGTATTACGTTTAATTAAACTAAGTTAGTTATTAAAACAGGAATTCAGAATTCTTATTTATAAGTTAAGAGAACCTACACAACAGAATATTTAATGATATCCGATATTCCTATGTTATAAGGGAATTTAACCCAAAAATTGAAGTTATAAAAGATGATCGCCATCGTCTATGCCTTGTTTTAAAAAAATAAGAAATGTTAACGTCAATGTCATTGTCATTGTCACCTTGTCACAAATTGGTCATCAAAATTAGAACATCGATTTTATTTATGTTAATAATTTAGGAAACAATCAAAATGTAAGTCACTATAGCTTGACGAATTTGTAAATTATTCCTCCACAAAACTAATGTTCATAGAAAATATTTAATAATTTGCTTAACACTGATGACACCACCACAATCTTTTACTGTATTATTTACCTTTTATGTGTAACTTTATAGAGTTAAAATGAGCTTTATATTAGAACTAACAATTTTCAGTTGCTGTATAAATAACGAAATGTCAGAATGTAAGCAATTAATCACAGAATGGCTCAACGAGTACGCGTCTTTACAAGATAATGAAATAAAAAGTTTCGCAGCAGAACATGAACACAACCATGAGATTGCCACTGCAATATTTAACTTGTTATATAGTGACGACAAGGATGAATTCTATGACCAGGTCCTTATTTACATTGTTACTTTTAGCCACAATAGGAATTTAAATAAGATTGAAAGTATGGATAGAATGTGTGAAAGAGCACATGTATGAGACAAGAATGAAATTCAGATATGACAGCTGGTAGACATGTCTGGTTCAGTAAAAAATACTGTGCCAACAATCAGTAAAAGAGCGGGAAGGTGATGAAAGAAGACTGAATCCAGTATGGATGGAATGTGTGATACTATTGTAATTTGTTATGCGCATGACATAGTTCTATTAATTTTATGCCAAATAGAATAAGATAAGATTTTTTTTTAAATTCCACTTTTCAGATTTTAGAAAATGTTTGTGTTCAACTGTTCAGTTTCTACAGATCTAAAGAAATAGAGTTACAAAGATTCACTTTGCAGTTTGTACCAACTTTAATGTTTAATTACTTAAGTGCAATAGCACAAGGCAGTAGCAAAAACAGTAGATGTATAGAAACTCTTTTAATTGGTAAGTTATATTTCGTTCAATACACACTCTTGTACTTCAATATAAATTGAGTACAACCTTTTGTCATGTTTATTCCAGGCTTATATAATTTTGAAGTTGTTGACGAAAGTGGTAAACCGAAAGTTGTTTCTTTTAGACTACCCTCATTAGCTCAGGCATCCATTTATCATGAGGTAAGTCTTAAAAAGTCTGAATGTCAATTAAATCATTAAGTTCTTAAATATATTTTAAATGTTATTCCAGCCCTTATCTTTGGGATCTCAATTCCTAACAGAGAGTGCACTACGCCGATGGGAGGAATGTAACACCAAGCTTGTAAGCTGGGGTCCACTGTCCCAAGTGGAGACAATCAACGCACAAAATAGATTGAAAGTCATGGCAGCCCTACTTTTTATTTATAATAGACAACTAAGCTTATTACCTAAATTGGCCCTTAGACATTTTTGTATTGCCGCATCAAGGTAACTGCCTAAATTTAAATAAAAAAACAGTTAAATAAATTAATATCGTAAACTTCATAAGTTATTTTTTTTGCAGAATTGTCACACAAGGATTTAATAAGAAACCTGGGGCTCCAAAACCTATTCCTCGGATACCAGTATCATCTAATTTCCTGTTAGAAATGATGGAAGGATCATATTTTGCTATGTTTAATGAATTTTATACATTAGCACTTCAAGCGGTGAAAGATATTGATCAGAGAGCGCAATACGAACTGTTTGCTGATGTAATGCTAGTCACAAGTGCGGTCATGAACTCGTTGAAGAACAGTCCTTCAGGTAAAATACAAATTCGAGGTTTTTAATAATTTTTGGCCTTAAAAATTGTGAACAAAATATAAAACGTAATCTAGATTATCTAGATTTTTTAATTAATATTCACATTCAGGTCAACCATGTGATGGTCCGATGGGTATAAGTGTAGCTCTCTCCCCCGCTACGACTACGGTCACGATGTCAAAATCAATGATAACCAACGCTTCATTCCGGACAAAAAAATTGCCAGGTAAGAATAATTGTCTCTAAAAATATGTCAATTGTAGGTAAATATCATAAAAACACATTTACACAATGATTTTGTATTGTGGAAGTTCTTTCAAATTAATTATAAAGATATCTAAAATTAATTTCATTCTTTTTTTTTAAACTAGGCTTAATAGCTTTATGCCAAGTAAATTTTTGCAAATAGTTTTTTTTTTGTATATTTTTCGCGCTTTATTTTATTTGTCAATGAAATGACACAATTGTTTTACTGTTAATTTATCTATTTCAGTTACTGATCGAAAAACTATATAAATTAATTAATGAAATAAGAAAAATAATGTAACTGAACTTGTGATCAATCCCTAATAGTTCTTTTTGTTTATTTTATTTTCAGGTATGCTTTAGATTTTGATACTTGCTATGAGTAAAAACAATATAAAACTAAGCTAGGAATATACGACGATAATGTAGTATTGGAGTTATCAAACAAAATCTATAATAAAAAATCTCACTTAGTGCTATTTATTTAATGTATTGCACTCCCTCGATGGTTAGGATAAAGTTTTAATTTATCATTAATCGCGTTTGGTACTTTTCTGTACAGACGATATTCCGATCCAGCCGGGGCAAGCTGTGTCCGCGGAGTCAGCGGACATGTTGTCATCTATCAGCGAGGAGGCGGAGGCGGACGCAGCGCCCATGCAGCGCGGCGGAGTCATACGAAATTCAAAACCAAAACTCGGTTCCTTTCCTGTGCTGGGCAAAAAGACGAAAGACGCCAAAGAGAAAACGGTCGCGACGAACGAAAAGAAGAGTTCTAGTAAAGATTCTTCTAAGGGTATTTGGAATGCGTTGGGCAGCGGCGCTGGCGACATGGTGGATTCTCAAAAAGGTTTAGATAATTCTTTCGACGCTAACAGCAGTCTTAAGGATGAAATCTCTATGACGTCCGTCCTTACCGGTGCAGACAACTCGGACACGCGGTCACAAGGAACTACCGACTCTTTAGATATGGAGGCGCCCTCGTCTCGTTTCGCCGCCATGCAAGTCAGCTCTGTCTAACCCGTAGTTTGTACATTTCAGTATTATGCTTATGTACCCTTATAGTTACCGAATGCTTGGTGTGTGTTTATTCATGCTTTAGACGTAAAAAAAATTATATGTGAAAATTATGTTGTTGGTATATTTACTTAATAAAGGTTTTAGTAGTTAAATTTACATCTGATTGTACGTTGTTGTGGTACTTAAGAATAATTCAATTGTAGTAATGTTTGTAAATTATACAAAATGTCATTGTGTCCTGCCAACTTTATGTATCATTCCAATTTTTTTGTTTAATGAAATAAATTCTATTATACGTAAATAAACTCTCGTTACACAAGTTGGAATGTTTTATTTGGTGATATTTTTTGGTTCCATTTCATCAATAAAAATTAGATTCTATGAGAGTTGTGTGCTAATAGTTGCAAATTAAAATAGATCACAACTTTGCTTAAGTGACAGGCACATATAGAGCCAAAGATATCTACTGAAAAATGCAATATCATTTCTTCTGTTATTTCTTATTTAAAACGATGAATATGTTCTCTATAAAGTGCTTCATTATACTTCGACTGAGGAACATAATCGAAGCCTATCAAAGTTTTTGGCTTTTTTTCTTCTAAAAGTTGTTGCAGCTTCGTTATAGTAGCAACGTATTCGTCGTGTTCCTTTTCGTTTATGACTATTGGCAGATTTGCTGCACAAACCCACAGATAAAACATCCCCACTGAAATATTAAAACGACAATAAACACCACCGGATTCGATTTTAAATTAATTTAAGGATGAACCCATACTGGTATATACTTTTTCGACTTATGAACTCTTGTTACTTCCCTCGATATAAACCATCACCAGATCTATCAGCTGTAATCTGGACCACTTTGGTATGCACTAATCACTGCTGTATATGAAGGTAAATATCGGTCCAGTTAAAATTCAACAGATGACGTTAATATTCAGATCAGATCACATTTACATTGTGCGATGATATTTCTCTTAGTAAAAGACAATAATATGCTTACATAAAATGAAACCTCCGAGTACACTAGCTCCAATGAGAAGACCAATGTCCATTGTGTTTTTTTTCAACGTCAATAGAAGTGCAATAACCAAAACTGTAAGAGCGATGAGGCGAACTAATTCGACAACGATGTACGCCATCATTAGTATACTGTTGCACTGAAATGAAACATTGATTATTCTTTAACATTAATAAATAGCTCATCAGCATAAAGAACATCATATCTATCACACTTCGATAGTCCTGAGATGATATATAGGCAACCTTTGACAAGTTGAGGAACGAAAGTTAACGTGCAAATACGTTCGCGGGCCGCAACATCAAAGGATTTGATGTTTGCCGCCTCATCGTCACTCCCTGAGTATAAGTACCTAATATATTCTTTTTAAATGAGTTTTTTAAAAATGTCTCGCGGACCGGATCATATCTTACAGCGGGCTGTGTGCTGCCCTACAAGAATCGAGTGAAGAATCTGAGAAATGTAGGATTCTCTATTTTTTCCCGCACAAGTAATTTACATTCATTACTAAAAGATACTACCTTATATGCTCCATAAACATACAACATACATATTATTATATATATGCATGTTAACGCTATAACAAATCCAAGTATTTTTGTTGGATCTGAAAATTAAAGGGATATACATGACCTTGTTCTGATTTTCTCAAAAAAAAAAACGAAGTATATTTTAAAAAATCATATCAAATAAACTAAACTAGCGCGTACCATCCTTCGACCACATTTTCACCTTGGTCTGGGTGGGATAGTGGTCAAGCGCTGGTTTTGCAATTTAAAAAAAAATTACCGTTTCGTAAATTATCAACAAACTCCTTCGTAAATATTAAATTCATATCGTTCACCCACAATGTTATTTTTTCTTCTACTTTCTTAGGGTTTGAATTTCCAATGCAACTAATAGTTAAAACTATCAAGGCTTGTACCTGGAAATAAACGAGTACCTTTTATACTAATTTATATTCACTTATGCAATTTTTATAATTCATTTTCTGTACTTACTATTGAAAAAAGTGCAATGATTATTCCACCTAATCTGAGTGAAAACCAAAAACAACAGCTATACACCAGAGCCATTTCGTTTTTAAAATATTAGAATAAAATCACTGTTCTATAAATCGTTACTAAAACTATAACAATGATTTTTTCCGTTTTTATACAGTGCTTTTTCGTGTTGCCTATCGTGTTACGATCACGAAGTTATTGTTATCATTTGCTTCTATTACGTATTGATTTCAAAACAATGCTTGCGTGTTAAAAAGTATTAAACTATTTTCCCAAAATCATAAGTTCTGATATGAGGGGGTGGGTTAACAAAGCAATCGCAAGGTTCACTATGGTCGTAATTCTACACAGCACTTTTGCTGCTGGCATTATGAAACCCCTTGGTACTTGGCACCAGGGGGGGGGGCTTATAATAAGCCTAATTGAGGACTATGCTACTTAGCTCGGTTTTCGAATTTCAAAATACCTACTTTGGTTTTTTGAATTCTCCCCGTTTTATACAATTTAAATCAAACAATTATCAGTGTATCGCAGCAATATAATGACGGAATTTTCGTAAACTAAGTGAGGTCCTGGGTCCCACTTAGTTTAGGTACCTACGTATATAATTTTGTTTAATGATATGCGTAGGTACCTTTACTAAGAAAATGCAAGTTTAACTTAGTCCTTGATACTTTACAACGCCCCGATTTGAATATCTAAACGGCAATGTAAACCCGAGGTTATAGAAACTCTACAGGTCCTTTGTCTACACTCCCAACAAGCTCGTACAGTAATACCTTGATTGATTTTTATATAAATAGGAGTAAAACAAGTAGGGACTCGAAAATGGAGGCTGCGCAGAACTCTATTTTAGTTACGGAGGGTCAAATCGCTTGCGCGAGATTCTACCCATGTAGTATGCACAGAAACATCAACACACTCTTATCCGAATAAAGTACAGTCGGACATAATGACGATGCGGTAAATGGCACAACATTCCACTCAATCTGCGTACGTACTTTTATTTCACAAAATTTGATTTTGCATATGAAAGTTTTACGGAATGAAAAAGAAAAAAAAAGTTTTTATATCATAAGGATGAAGCCCAGCTAATTCAACTTATAATAATTACTTTAATTGACTTTTTCCCACATTTTCCGTTATCGACAAACGACAACTATTTTCATGCCTTTCACTAATTTGTAATATGCCACTCGTGGTTTTTAGATGTTATAATTCGTCTTCGCTGAGGTTCTAATATATTCATATTTCATACAAAAAGATATTGTTACTCTTTGTTGTTCTAACATTATTTCGGCAATGGAAACCTATGGGTAACGTTCACGGAAATAAAAACAAACGGCAATTGTCGCATGAAAATTATGGTATTTGACAATAGTGGAAACGCGAGCTAAGACGTGACAAGTTTGACATTATGCATATGTTTATATCAACAATGAAAACGTTATTAAATACAATTAAAACTAAAGATATGAATTCTTGAATACTAATTAATGTTTAATCCTAAGAAAGGTCTGACAGGGCGGGGCAGGGGCGGGAATAAGTTCATCATATTTGTTTGAACTGTACCTGCGCCTTGGACCTGCGCAATACCTGTCACGTGATAAATCCAGACCCGACATCGATTTTACTTTCATGTACTCGTCTTTCGCCTCTAGTTATCTCGTAGTGACTTGGTATCATTTTTGTCATTGTTACGGAAAAACAATACTGATTCGTGTCATTTGTTCGTGAAATATGATTACTTATTAAAACAACATACGATATTTCAATAAAAATTAGTGCTACAAGAATTTAATAATGGAGAATACTACAATATTCACTTTACCCGATGAACTTATATTTATCGTTTTAAAACATGCCAATGTTCGAGATGCTATTAATTTCAGTGCAACTTGTAGACATTTTCACAATTTAGTGAAGAGTAACCAGAGCTTCTGGGCATATAAATTCAAAGGAGTGTAAGTTATTTTAGATAAGATTTTTAATTTGCATGCTACCAGATATGTTATTGTTTGAGAGTCATTGCAATCTAGCTGTAAATGTTTCTAATAAATATTTTTTTAACATCTCAATACCTTATAAATCTATACAAAGCAATCAAAATTGATTTCCCAGTATTCATGTACTATTTGGTACTCATCACCTCTTTTATATCAGAAATCATCAAACTTACATCAATCTTTATATATTCAGGGGCCTATGGGGCTTACCCCACCCTAAGTCCGTAGAATTTACATACCAAATTAAAATCAGACTGTGATAGTGTAGACCTGAACACTTTTTAATCATTACTGGCTGCCATTACGAGGTTTTGTACACTTTTATGTTATTTATCTTCATATTTATGACACTTGGGCCACATCAAGGGAGGGTCAGGGATGGGGAAGCTGCTAGACTTGGTGAAGATCTACCCTTGATGTGAAATTTATTGGGGGTCTTAAATTTGAAAAAATGAAAGCTATAAAGTATAAGGATCATATTGAAATTAATTAATAAATATTACAGGTTGCCAGGTATCTCCGAAGTTGTTGACCAGTATGGTAGTGGTGTTTGGCTAAATGACTTAAAGACCTTTTTGGTCCAAAAACGAAGTGTTTGTAAAGAGTTATTAGAATTGTCTCCTAGACATTACTGGTAAGTAAAACATTAATTGTGTAATTTTTATTGATATACAAAATACAGGTAGTTTGGGTGTTTACTTAACTATACAAAAAATAAAGCTTTTATGTTTCTGTGATTCTAGGAAAGTCGGTCAATTTTCACTGAAAGATGTGACACATTTCTTCCAAGTATCATCCATTACCAACCTCGGTTTCTACTATACCATTTCCATACTGCAGAACATAATCAGAATTGGTTATAAAAACATGCTTAAATTTAAAACAGCAAAGTAAGTAAACTCAGTAATTTTCAGATATCATGGTGGCTCTTAACTTCACATGTTTTTGTGTTGAATACAATTTTAAATATAATGTGCTATGGGGAGAAGGAGTGCCCTGTGCAGTGATACAGCATGCCTTAGGCTGCTAAGATATTTGAAAAGAACTATATTAATTTTAATTACATAGACTTTTTATATATTTTTTTTCTTTGCAGGCCAAATACATTAACTGAAATGCATTATGCAAAATGTGTGCTCAGTCACATGTTACACTGCTATCTGACTGTGAAGTGGATTAAAAATCAAATGATTCAAGAAACACCTCCAGAAATTGTCTTAAATTTCATTGTGCAGTGGATTGATAATGAGAACTTCCACTTTTTCGATGATGTCAACCATATAGTTTGTATCAAATTAGTCTTTTTCACAGTTTTAATAAATTATCTTGTTTTATAAAACTGTCATAATAATGGAATCTAAACTCAGTTGCAGGTTTGGGCCGAAAAAGTTAAAGAACATTTGAAAAATGCCCATCCAGAACAACTAGAAGAGAATGCTGAGGGGAAATACACCTCTGGTCAAATTTTTTCTGCCGTTTCCACGGTCCTGTTCAACCAGAACCGTATTACTATGACTACTTCAGCGAACTTGGATACCCTTGATGTAGTAAAGGTATTTATCATTTGAATATCATTTGTATATATCATTTGTTGAATGTATTTAATTTATTGATTTTATTGTTTATTTTTGCACACAAAATATTTTATTTTACACATTATTTTAGAAAATCAAACTATCTTCGATTGTCAGATATATGTTATGAAATAATTGTAGAAACTTAATAGTGTGGTGACATATCAAAGATTCACTGAGAATTATAGTGGTTTGTATTTCCATACAATAGTCAGAACATAGTATTGAGAAAGGGTGAACCAAAAATCAAGCAGTTTCGGCCAAATTTTAATATACTACCTGTTTAATGTAAAATAATATTATTAGTATTGTAAATACGAAAATTAACTTACTAATCATATGAAAAAGAAGAACATGTACGCTATTTTTTTTTATTCTTATACGGACTGATTGTGGCCAAAAGCTAATAAAATATTATTTTACAGGTGTTGAAAAACAAAGTTGGAAATCAAATCGCGGTGTACGCTATTTACCAAGCCATAGCCAGCCGCTGCGGCG